CCTGGGTACAACGTAAGGGACAGAAAGAGGCTTGTCTAGTCCCTTGTTTGTTTTGCTACCTTCTGGCTACCATAAACTGTTCTCTGCAAAGCCACCCCACCCTGAAGCCAGCCCATTACGGATTGAAACCTCTACAACCTGTGAGCTAAATAAACTGTCTCAGCAATAAGAGAAAAAAAGATAAGACAGGCAGATTTCCTTTCCCAAGCTCATGCTTATGTTCTGTCTGCTAAATGCACTTACCCTGATTATCAACCCATGAGAGAAAATAAAACTTGAGAATCACTTTCCTTTACAGATTCCCACTTTAAATCCAACTTTTCAGGGCTTTTCCCCCATCATCTTGACTCTGCTGAAGATCCTGAGCACAAGCACGTGTAGGCCGTCCACTTCCTCATAGAGAGGCCTCCAGCTTTCTCATGCATGCCACGGCTGATACGAGTCCACGTGGCTAGGCCCTGGATGTGAACTGCTCATTTTCTTTCTGCTTTCCTTTGGAACAGAGGCCACTGTAGTCTGCTGTACGATTCCTGTCTTGTTTACTTAAGAACTACTTCGGTCTTCTGTCATGTTTCCATTTTCCCTTGGGGAGAAAAATGCTACTCTCCCCAGGATTCATGAGAAAAAATGAGGAGTGTAGTTGGGTTATGCGCATAGAGGCAGGCACTGAAGTGTTCTGAGTGAGGAGCGAGGGATGGAGCGAACAGAAGAGTGAGCGGGGCTTGAGAAAGAGGGATAGAGTGTGGCCCACAATCATGGAGCAGCCCTGGAAAGGAGGGTGGAGAGAGAGATCAAAGCACTTGCATTGGAACAGAAATGTGTAAATGAATCAGATTTTTTTAACAACCACATCTCACCACTGTTAACAGCTAGAAAATTAGGATTTAAAAAAAATTAGACCGTATCTTTGTTATGAAAAGTCTACCGGTGACGAGAATCCCCAAAACAGCATTGGAGTAGGCCCTCTTAGAGAGCCACATGCAGTACAAGGTGAGACAATTACTCAGCAAACAGTTCGTTTCCAAGCTGGAGATGTGTGGTCTGCTTGTGGGGAATGTTAGGGGTTCTGCTCTCCAAAGTCTTCATTAGTCAGCTCCTGATGAACCAGCACATCTTAAAATGCTGGTAGGGCTGGGAACTCGACACTGCTTAAGTCAGTCAAGGCGTGTTTGCTGCAAGCAACAGAAACTCACTCTGACTGTATGAGGTTAAAAACAAGAAAAACATTGAAAGGCAATGAAATACCTCACAGAAATGAAGAAAAAGCAGACAAGATAAAATTAAGAAAATGCCAGGAATCAGGAAGCTCTGGAGATGCATGGAGGTAGGAACCAGAGGACAGTCTGTTCAGGAGACTGCCATCAAGACTCGGCAGTGTGGCCTCATCCTCCAGATTATTCCCCATGAGACTTGCACTCCAGGGAGAGAACTCTCTAGCAGGATAGCTGGAATCAGTCACTTACTTCGTATTCAGAGGAGATGGGGTTGCTTGATAAGCAGTGCCTCTGGGCCTGGAAGTCACAGAGAAAGTGCAGCTGAGACTTCCACAGTGAGGGAGAAGAGATGCTCGGTGGGCAAAAGCACTGGTGTCCTCCAGGATTGCATGCACTTTCCATGATCATGGAATCCACTGTCCTCAGCCTCCCACCCCATGGCTCTACCTTCAGCCCGCTTTCTCAGGAGAAGTCCTCCAGATCCTCCAGCCCTTACAGACCACTTGGTCTTTAGAATGCATGAAACCAAAGTAGTCATTCACATGATCATTTATTCACTCGGTCCTCCACTATGTGCCAGGTATTCTATTAGGTACCAGTTGTCCAGACAGTCTTGGCTTGCCACTATGTGGGGTCCTGGACTATAACTTGTTCATGTTCAGGACAGCATTTATCCTTCATGTGTGGGCCTTTGATTGTATGGGCAGGTATCAACATTGGGCTAGATTCTAGCACCTGAATAAAGGCTCTTAAACTGTTTTAGCAACCTGTTATCATACGACTACTGATAAAACCAAAATTCTTAGAAATTCTTCATAGTTCAATTCTAATATTAAGTGATAGCAAGGAAGCATTCTTAATTTACACTGAGTTTATACTTATTCATTCATCCAATAAACAAATACCTCATGAGCATCCCTCTGGTATCCGTAGAGACATGTTTCAGTGAGCAGAGGTCATATTCAGTCTCACACACTGGTGAAAACTCCCGTTAGTTGCTAATAGTCCTCTTTCTGGAAACTTATTACACTCCAGACACCTTCTGTATAAAATAGGAGAGTAACAGTTTGTCTGCATATATTTTGGGGGAGTCATAGAACTTGGAAAGCAGTTTTCCCTGTCCTATCAAAGAATATATGTTCAAAAAATGATAGTGTCAATATCACTCCCTTCACCCAAATGTAATGTCACTCCATGAAAGATGTCACTATGCCAAAAACATCAAATTCAAAACACGGATCCTTCTCCCCAAGCTCTCCTCTCAGTCCTGTAACTGGCAGTGTGTGGAGCTTAGATTGTATGTGCTCTGTCTCTGTTAGCTGTGTCTCACCCAGAAGAGTGTCACAGATCTCTACTCCAGTGCTGACCATTTAGGTTCCCTATTCCTTTTCTAATCCCAACACCATTTTTTAGTTGTTCCTAACACCAACTTTTGCAAAAGTGTTTTAGTACTTACAGAAGTCTTACAACCTGTCTTTTTCATTTTACATTTAGGTCAACTTCATTCTCCCACATGAGATCAGAAGATGAGAAAAAGATGACATCATCTGTCTTGGACCACAAAGACAGACAGGGGTTGGACTTAGGATTCCAAATCCAGGCCTTTGAACTCCAAACCTACCTTTCTGAGTCTAGTAACATCTTCATGAAAGGTCCTACAGCAATGTCCTAAGTGTAAGGATTTCTGGGTGTCTTCTGGTGTCATTCTGATGAGGTCCATGGCCTGACTTCTGACTCGAGGGCTGAGTCCCGAGGCAATCAAGCAAGGCTTAGATTTTACAGTCAAATAACCACAGCCTGGGTTCCAATTCACTGGCCCAGGATGAATTCCTAGCCCAGTGTCTTGAGTGAGAAAAGTCCAGCTGCCAGCATCACTAGAGAAAACTCAGTCCTTGCTGAAGTGGTGAAATTGCTGGTTGTGTTAGCAGAGAAAATGTCATTTCAGGAAGGAAGAAAAGTCTGAGGTTGAACATCCTCCAAATTTAACCATGTAGTGTCATTCGAGACTGTGATGAACCGGGGCTCTGTTTTTTTTTTTTTTTTTTTTTTTTCTGTGTCAAATTCTGTTCATTTTCAATGAGTTGGGGTCATTCTCTTTATTTATTCTTTATTAACCATTCCTTTGGATCAGAAATAACATATGTTTTATAATCATACAAATGCAAATGTAATTATAAAACTTTTTACCTCAATAAAAACACTAGATTGCAAAAAACGGTTGAGACAGTAATCTAGCTCTATCCAAGGCACATATGGGAACTCTATAAATGCTTATTAACCCTGAATTTTCTGACAATTCTTTCTGAGTGCTTCTTTACCTTTTCTCAACAGGCAAAACGACAAATTTTTCTTACCTCAACCAGGGTACTAAATATACATAGAATGCAGTGCTTTTTGGAAGCCCTATTCCTTGTCAAGGATTTCTTAAATGCCAAAATACCATTAAATAGAGTTTCAAAATCAAAATACTCAGATTATTTTTACCACAAAGCTGAGAGAAATATAACTGCAAACAACTCATTGGAAAGGCTGAGAAAAATAACCTTGAAGGCTGTCCAAAGTATTATATGATTACTGAAATTTTTTCTCTTGAACACTTCTCTTAAAAATGCAAGAAAAAAATAAGCAATTTGGCACACAGGATGTCAAGTCCACAGGTTCAAATTTCACGCCTAGAAATAGTGATAATCTCTCTCTCTCTCTCTCTCTCTCTCTCTCTCTCTCTCTCTCTCTCATAGAAGAAAGTCAGGCCAATACATCCTCATTTCTTTCCCTTCCTAAGCTGCCTCTCTGAATAAATGCATCAGTTTTAGGGCAAGGTCTGGCTTTTTTCCACATGCAAAACATCTTTATTTGCACCCTGAAAATGCTGACATCACTTCCTCTATAGCATCCCCCCCCCATACCCACACACACACAAAGAAAACAATTCCAAGGAACTGGAGTCGAGGAGAGCATTGCATCTCTAATAATGGCAGGCACAGAGCTCATCAGCACAGTGTCCGTTGCCATAGTTACCTGTAAGATACAACAACAACTGCTGCTCCAGAAATTAAAGTGTCACAGAACAGAAATGACTGCATATCACTTCGCTAAATGATCCCTCATGGCACCTTAGCTGATTATTAGAGAGGAATATTGTATTCCTTCAGGTGGAGCTAATAATCAAGTGAAATGGCCTCTGAGAAAAAGGTTTCTAGTGTTTTCTTTCCTGAATCCCAATAGAACATTAAAATGATCTCTTGGCAACTCCGAAAAGCAATTTTTCAACCTTTGCTTTTTGTAAAATTTGGGAACGTAAAATCCCAGCAATTGGCCAGTAAATCACTTTGGACTCCATAGAATGACCTGCAGCAAAAAGAGCAAAGTGTGGTCAATAAGTAGGCTGTCCTATCTAGTTAATAGCCACAGCCAAATCGACCTTTTCCCTAAGTGCTTGATTTTGCTCCAAAATATTTGTGGAGAGAATTGACCCAAAGTGTATATTTTACTGAGTGTGCTATTTCAAATGAATTGACTGATTGATCCCTGTTGGTATTGTTGACATGTAGATGTGTCCACATTTTAAAGATTTTAGGTCAGCATGCGTGAGCTGGGCCCCTTCAGCTAAGGGAAAAATCATCTACTTCAAGTTGACCTTATTTATTTCAGGGAATTTGCACAAAGATTTTTTTTCTGCTCCTTGGAAGCTCTTGTAAGGCAACTGGGCACCAGAAAGAGTCATATCTCTAGCAGAATAATGATAACTTTATTATTTGGCAGAGAGAGGAGTTAAAATATTACTGAGTGCTCGCTTCAGTAGCACATATACTGAAATTGGAACAATACAGAGAAGATTAGCATGGCCGCTGTGCAAGGATGACATACAAATTCGTGAAGTGTTCCACATTAAAGAAAAAAGTCTTAATGATAAGAGGAATAAAGCTCTCCCTATCCGGGACTTGATCTCACACACACACACACACACACACACACACACACACACACACACACCCTTCTGCAGTGAAATGTCCCCTTGCCAGCAGAGATTAAGCTTTGGAACATCTAGCATCTTCCCAACTAACTAGACTTGCCTCGAATTTTGCTTGGAGGCTGATAAAGACCAGCAGCAGAAACCCGGCTCCACCTTCATCTCAGACGTTCACTGGAGTTCACACAGCAGGGAAGAGTCCAAGAGGACTCCCGGGGAGATGGACAGTTGTGGCCAAGGGGAGGTAAAAACGTGGAGAGCGGATACAGAGTGGAACTTGGAGGGAGCAGGAAGGGTGGAGAAGCAGAGGTGTGAAAACTTGAGGGCACTTACAGGAGGCAGCCTCCCCACAGGGATCTTCCCCAACCCTGCGAAGGTAGCGGAAATCTGGTCAGAAACCAACTCCCAGTTTTCCTTATCTGAATATTTTTGGAATATTTACACAATCTTGTGTCCAAAAGCTGCTTAAGTATCTTATTTTTTTCAGGAACTATTTAATCAAGACAGGAATATGGGGCCAATGTGCTCCGCCCTAAAGGCACCCATCCCGCATGGGTAAGGACTGAAATATTCGTGCAGTGGAGCATGGGCCAGCTGCTCTCCCAGGAAGTGGGATAGAAACCATCGCCCCTGTTCCCTCTCTGTCTTGTCCATAACAGTACAGCATGAAAGGCCCCTGATAAGCCTAGGCTTCATCTCCAGGATGTAAACAGATATCTCTGCTACAAGAAAACTCTTATAAAATGTGTAAACAGAGCATAAAGTTTTTGTTTTCTCTACTGAGCTCTTCTCATTTCTTCTCACCCACCATATGAAAACACTTGGAAAGGGAAAGTTACTGGGAGAAACCAAACAGCTATGTCTTAAATTTCCAGATGAAAGGCAATTTCCTTTTGGTTGTCATGAATCATCCTTTTCTTCCCTTCCACAATGGCTTTGTTGTTCTTGTTGTTGTTATGTAGGTTCCCTTTTATTAACTTTCTTTGTGTTATGTCAGAGTTAATCTTCTCTTTCTCATTTCCTGGTCTTCTAGCACCATTTTTCAACAACAGAATTTCTTTGTTCTTTAAAGGCAGCAACTGTGTTGCTCACTGATATATTTAGTATCAGATGAGAACAAAGCAACATTTGTCATTTCAGGAATCAATCTAAATTATGATATTATTGAAAGGCAACCTATATATATGCATGTGAAAACTCTCTACCCAATTTTACTTTGGGTAACTCAGTCTAAGATCATAATTTTAGGCTGAGTCTTCAACACATGTAGCCAGACACATAGTATGTACTCAATAAATACTTGTTGAAAAAATAAATGAATAAATGTTAACTAATTTGCAACTTTCAAAATTGCAATTACAAGACTTGGAAGACTTCAAAGGAATCTTTGAAAATATGAAAGGACTTTTAATTTCAGATTCCCCAATTAGTCTTCAATTGGTACAAATAATTATCTTAAGGACACAATCTTTTTCTAATCAAAATGAATAAGAAGAGATCACAATTCTGGATATGGTGGAGTTAATATACCCCCTCATCCACTGCTCCCACAGAATGCAGTTAAAACTGGAAAGAATGCATACAGCACCCTTCTGGATACTCTGGAAAGGAAATGGCATCAGGAGGATTACAGAAAGATCAGACACCTCAAAATATCACGAAGGAATGATAAGCATCACATTTAACCTCCACTTTCTCCTCTTCCGGACTCAAATTTAGTCCAGAATTCAGTCTAAACCCTGAATGTGCACTGACAGTGCACACAAAATCACTCTAAGAGAAGTCTTCTCCTCAGTTTCCTAACACTGCAGGAAGAGAGATGCGCTTCTGAGAGGAGGGAGGGTGGGCCCCGTCTGCTGTTCATTGCCACTTGGTTTGACAACCAAGATACATATAGCTGTGGTAAGTGAGCAACAAAGCCGTAAAACTAAGCCTCAGCTTTATAGTAAGATCTCCAAGGAGGACAAGGTTACTGTAGCAGTAATTATAGACAGTAAGAGCTCCAAGAAAGTGTACGTTAAAGTAGTGTACAAACCGCTGGGCTCACATCCAGGCTGTGATACGTGTGTCTCTCTCTGTCATGGTAAAGTCTTTGAGAACAGAATGACAAGTAGGACATTCCAGGTATAGGGCTCAGTGGTGATCACACAAGGCAGATACAAATAGCACTAAAAAGACTAAAAAATGAACTACCTCAAAAGTGGGTCCATAGAAGGTGGACAGGAAGTGGAATGCAGGCAGGTTAGTAGACTGAAAATATGAAGGAAGAGAAAAATAACCATCATTTTCTATCGGATTGAAGTAAGACCCAAAGTCTGGTAATATATTATTCAAAGTGTCCTGAGGTAAAACCTAAAGTCACTCAGTAATACAAAGAACCAGAATGATCGCAACATCTCAAAAGGGGAAAGAAAACAAACACCAATCCCCCAATGACGTAGATGCTGCATAGACTTTAAAGCAGCTACTGCAAATGTGCTCTAAGAAATGGGACGCTCACTCTTGGAGCAAATGGAAAGACAGTCTCAGAAGAGGAAAAAAATATTTAAAAAATAGCCAAATGAAAACATGTAAAACAAACACAATTATGAAACTAAAATACTCACTAACTGGATTTAATAGTAGAATAGAGAAGACAAAGGCCAAAGGGATTAAATGACTTTGAAAATTGACATTCATTCCTTTTTAATTTTAATTTTTATTAGTCCATGTTTGCAGTACATAGTAGCTACATTCACCCTGGAGAATCGTACATGTCCACTGTATGTCTTAGCTTTGTTCTCACCCCCTTCTCCTAATCCTTCTTCTCAAGCAGAAAAAATATTTTTTTAAATGAGTAAAACCTTAAGGACCTCGACAGAGTAGCAAAAGATGCAGTTTTCATGTAATTAGAGTTCTGGTAAGAAATGAGAAGTGTGGTACAGAGAAAATATTTGGGGAAGTAATATCTTTTATTTTCTCAAATTTGGTAAAAGATATTAAACTCCAAAAAGCATATTCTCAAAGAAATCTGTATGCCAATAAACATATTCAATTTATGAAAACTAAATACCAAGCAACAATAAAAAAACAGCCAGAAGAAAGATAATAGATTAAAATAGGAGAACAATGTTCAACGATTGTTAGATATCTAGCAAGAACAGCTGACTGTGGATTCTTCGCTAGAATCCATGGAGCTCAGAAGGCAATGGAACAGCACTTCCTAAGAGCTGAAAGAAAAGAACTGGACAGCACAAAATTCTTTAGCCATTAAAATATCCTTCAGGAATGAGACCAATATGCAAAGATATTATCAGGTCAGGAGGATTTGCAGCAAGAAGTGTCTAAACGTCTAAAAAGACTGCTAAAAGAAATATAAGAATTACTTACACTTATAAAGAATTGCTTATAAAAGATTGCTAAAGGAAGTATTTCAAATGGAGGGCAAATGATAATGGAGGGCAGCTTGGAAATTCATCAATGAAAGAAAAGCAACGAAATTGATTTGCTTGCTTTTCTCTACTTGAATTCTTTGTAATGTATATAAAATTGAATAAGCATATGAAATATGCCAAGACCACAAAAAGTTGCGTGTAAAAAGAATGTGTGTAGCACTAGGTGTGTACATCCCCTGGGAAGGGAAAATAAAAGTACTAATTATAAGAAGACTGTAAGTAAGTTCCACCATTTTACTAAGCCAAAGGGAAACATTTTAAAAAGAGAACATTTTGTGAGTTGAGAGCAGGCACAGACTTTTTAAGCAGGGCATAAGAATCACTATCCCACAAAAGAAAACAGAATGTGTAAATTGTACTGTATCAAAATTTGAAGTGTCTGTTTATTGTGAAACACCACTATGCAAGTCATTTCTGTAAAGAAACTGTGTGTGATACATATACCTGAAAATGAACTTACACACAGAATACATTTTTAAAAAGAAAGCACAGGCCAATTATGACCAAGTAATCTGATTTTTTAAATGAACAAAGGTTTTGAATAGACACTTCACACACAAAACAAAACTTACATGGATTGCCAATAAGAAAGTGCAAATAAAAATGATCAAAAGCTACCACTAGACACACAGTAAAATGGCCACAGTTTTAAAGAACTGGTAGTAAAGATGTTCCAACTCTCATTTTGTTGGTGGAAATGTTCAGTGGCACAACCGTCTTGAAAGACCATTTGACATTTTCAGTTAAACAAGTACTTTATATAACCTGACATGTCTACTCCTCAGTAGAAAATCTCACATTTTAGGTCTTAGAACAAAACCCATTAAGAATGAAAATACACATCCACAAAAAAGACGTAAATGTTCGAGGAGCTTCCTTTGTAATAACCCAAATGTCTATCAGTAGATGAATGCACAAACAAAATACTTTATTCATGCAATGAATTACCAGTAATCCTCTGATACCCAGACAATGCCACAAGTAAATCTCAGAAACAGTATGTCAGGCAACAGAAACCAGGCTGAAAAAAAAGTACAAATGCATAATATCATTTATATCAAGTTACAAGTGAGAGAAAACTAATCTACAGTGACAAAAAGAAGATCAACAGTTACACAGGGCTGAGATTTGCCTTAAAAAGGAACTTAAGGGAACTTTTCAGCATGATGAAAACAGAGAGTGGCTACATGGATAAATGTGTTTGCCGAAACTCACCTAACTATACATTTTAGAATGAGCACATTATCCTTTTTAAAAGATATACTTTCATAAAGTTGACTCTAAAATAATTTTTTGAACCAGCAATTCTCTGAGGAAGCAGTTTTTGCCTTTTTTCCCTCTCTGATCGGTGAAGCTGTGCTAGAACAGGGCTATGATAAGGAGCACACTGCTTTGCCTTCTGGGTGAAGGAAGGTGCTCTGACTTCAGTGCTGACTGCACCAAGGATTACAGATGACGCTCAGACGGCAGGACGGCACCTGCAACAGCA